AGCTCCTCCTTTGCCTCGTTGGCCCAGAGCCATCCTGAGCACTCCACGGGCACGTGGGGGCAGCGCCCCAGCCCTGCCCGGGCAGCACCTCACACCCCTGGGCCATGGGGCTGCTCCTGAGCAACACGGGGACAGCACAGCCTCTGCATGAACCAGAGCAAAGGTCCCAGGTCCACCCAGGGGAAAAGCCCGGGCAAAGTGCAGCAGAGTTTGTCCTTGGCCGTGTTTGCAGTGAACACAGCCCTGGGTGCCCTGTGGAGCCACCCCGGGATGCACTGCACCCACATCTCTCACCCCCTCTGGAATGGCTCTGTGGCAGCAGGGCATCTCTCACCCCCTCTGGAATGGCTCCATGGCAGTAGGGCATCTCTCACCCCCTCTGGAATGGCTCTGTGGCAGCAGGGCATCTCTCACCCCCTCTGGAATGGCTCTGTGGCAGCAGGGCATCTCTCACCCCCTCTGGAATGGCTCCGTGGCAGTGGGGCATCTCTCACCCCCTCTGGAATGGCTCCATGGCAGCGGGGCATCTCTCACCTCCCCTGGAACTGCTCTCTGATACAGCAAAGGGCTCTCATTAACAGAATATAATGTGCACTGAAAATAATTGATGATCATCCTGCAGCATTGATTATCTGTCTCCTGCACTGCTCCTTTGCTTTAGGGGCCTGTTGGTTTTCCCCACAGAATCCAGCCCAGGCAGAAAAGGCTGAGCCATGACTGTGTCCATCTGCCCTCTCCTGCCCATCCATCCCCGTGCTGTGCCACAGGCAGGGTTCTCCAGCCTGATTCAGGGTGCTCATTGCACAAGTGTGCTCTGCCTGTGCCAGGCACAAGCCCAGACTCAGCCCTGGCCCACAGGCAGCCCAAGGAGGAAGAAGAGAGGGAAGGCTTCCCTGAGGACCATGAGCTCCTCCTGTGGGTTCCTCCTGCTCCTCAGCTGCAAGCAGGGGGGTTGAGTGATGCTGGAGGAAGCGTCTCTGCAGCCATGGCTCATCCCAAAGCCTCCGTGGGAGTCAGGGTGGGCACTGCAGGACTGTGCCCATCCCCCTATACCCACCTGCAGCAGGAAGGTAACAGCTGGCAGCAGCCATGTGGATGGCATTGGCCACGCTGCCACTTCTTGGAAGTGTCCAAGGCCAGGTTGGATGGGGCTTGGAGCAAGCTGGTCCTCCTGTGTGTCCCCATAGCAGGGGTTGGGACGAGATAAGCTTTAAGGTCCCTTCCAACCCAACCCACTCCATGATTCTGTGATTCTCCTTGCCCCTGTCCCAGCCAGCGTGGGCAGTCACAGCTGGGCAGTGCCAGCCGTGGGACAGACGAGCCTTTCCCAGCACTGCCCTCCCTTCCCAGCACGGCCCCGCCAGCGCCTTGGCGGCGGCTGGGAACAGCAGCAGTTGTTTGCAGAGCAGCAGCCCCGAGCACTCAGATGGAGCTGCACACTCAGCAGAACCCAAATCTCCCAAAAAAACTGAATAAAGTCCCTGGGAGGAGCGGGAGCGGGCAGCGACCCAGATCCCCTCCTCATGCTTGTCACATGAATGAGCTCTGGGGCCGAGCTCCCCTCTCCCCAGGAAGGGGATTGTGCCGCATTGTGAGGAGGATTAGGCTGCTTCAGGAGGCCAGGAGTGTCTGTGTGTAGGGCTGAGGGGCTGCCTGGCCTCTCACAGCACCACAGCAGGAGCTTCCTGCCCCACAGACCTGGGCAATGGGCTCAAGGCCCCCACAGGGTTGGGGTGCACTTGGGCACCCCCAGGGAGGCGATGGAGGATGTCCCCAACACCCAAGCGGAGGCAGCAGCGGCTCCCCAGCCCGCATCCAGAGGGGCCACCCAGTGAGCTGCCTCCCAAATTCCCTAACAGAGGGAAAGAAGGAAGGAGGGCAGCTGGGATCTGCCTGCCTTGTCCTGGATCCCACCCTCAGCCGGCCTGGCTGCCGCCGGCCATCAGCCACTGGCAGCGGTTCCCAGCCGGCAGCTGGAGCACCCGCCTGCTCCTCTGGGAGCCCCCAAACACCCCCCCCAGCTGCTGCCGAGCATTTCTGGCCGGCGACCTCTCATGTTTGGGAAAACAAACTGCACGGGAATTAGCTCCCAACTATTTCCTCAATTCTGCCCGCTATGAAGGGAATTTTATTTTGCTGCCCCCGGAGGAAGGAAGGCGGCGCGGCCGGTCCCGCAGAGGAAACCTGGGGAAGAACGAGGGGGGAGCTGGCCAGCGATGCTCCCACTGCTCACACCTCCCGGCCTGGGGAGCAGGGAAGCACTCACACGTCCCCATGGGTGTCCTGTGGTCCTTTGGAGAGGGATCATCCCAGCAGATCCCAGTGTGCTCCGGTTAAGCAGTGCCGTGGGTTCAGCCTCCAGGGCATTCCTGGGACACAGGCTGCACAAAGGGCTGGTTTGAGCATCCACTGCCCACTCACTCATCACCACAGGGAAAGTCAGGGCTCCCACCCGACACACTGAGCCCTGTGCCTAATTTTAGCTCTTGGTTTATGGGTAGAGGCAACAGTGAGAGGCTCTGGGAGCCCAGCTCCTGTACTTCCCAGCACTGGAGATACCTCCGCTCACAGAAATAACGTGACTAAATATAGCCCTGCTGCTCCTGTGAGCTGAGCCAGGAGGAACAGGGACAGCCCCTGCCCAGTGGGAGAGGCTGGCCCAGGGCAGAGTCCATGCCCTGGGGTGGTGTCAGCCCTGCCATGGCACAGCAAGGACTGTGCTCTGCCCCAATCAGGGGGGCAGTTTATTAACTCTCAGTTGAGAGTTTATAAACTGCCATAAACTCTCAGTTGAGTTTATGGCCTAATACAGGGCAAGAGCTTCTCCTCCTGACCCCACACACACCTTCCTCCCTCACCTGCACTTCCAGAGTGTTGGATCCCAGGAGCAGTCCCACAGGAGATCCTGGAACCAGGACAGGGCTAGCACCCAGCTCCAGACAGGGCATGGAGGCCACCCTTAGAAAACAACTGGGATTTACTACTGAAGTGTTCCAGGCCAGCCACGTCCAAGCAGCAGGAAATTATTTAAACACTTTTTTCCTTAGCAGCAGGGTTGGCTCCCTGCCCTGGCTCTGTGAGCCTCTCCCAGCAGTGCTGGCTATGGTAACACCCATGTCAGCTGCAGTGGTACCACAGCCCAGACAGGACCCCCCCTGCTCAGGAGGGGTGGGGACCAGCAGAGCATCAGCCACACACCTGGCAGAGGAGCTCAGGCTACATCCCAGCCCCTCCCGCAGCCCCTGCTTGACTGGGAGATTTTTACCCTACTGGAGACCCACCCCACACACCTGCCTGTACCTGCAAAACTTAGGAGAACAGGGGCAGCTCCCCAGGGGTGGGTTATTGTGATGTGAGCCCATCCCTGTGGTCCAGCAGACACACCAGCTCTGGAAATACAGTTACTTGGCTTTACAGTATCACAGTTCAGCACTGTACCACATCCTCTTGTACAAAGTAATCCATTGGCTTTATAAAGTTACTCTGAAAAACCCAACCCAGCCTCCTTTCTGTGAGATTTAGACCAGAGCAAGGCCCAAAGTGGCCTTGCAGCCAAGGGAGCATAAGGAGAGTGGCTGCAGTGGAGGGCCTGACCCTACCAGGGGTCCAGAGACCCCAGGACAGCTCCCTCAGGACCACCTTCATTTAACCCCTCTTTTGGTTTCAGCTCCCATACAGCCGTGGTCCCACTCAGCTCCGAGGGAGACAGCACAGAGAGCAAGAGCATCTGCCCTGCCACAGCCCCACTCCCCTCTCCCCAAAACTGACCCTAAATCTACAAATTGTCTGGCACAATTTGTATGATTCTTAGAAGTACGATTCTAAGAAAGAAGTTCAACATTTGATGGGTAAATTGTAAAAAAAAAAAAAAAAAAACAAGTTTATTTGAAAAAACTCAGCCTCTTAACATGAATTCTGATCAACATGTACTAGAACTTGAGAGCCATTAACCTGCTCCACGTACATTGAGATATTTTCCAACACTAAAAAATAAAAAATAAATACATACAAATTCTTTCCTCCCCCTTCCGTGTCCTAGATGTGAGAGGTTCGGCATCCACCGCCTGAAGATCTCAGTTGAACAGAAGCAAGTAAAAGAGGTTTTTCTAACAGGTAAAAGAGCAAAAGCAGAAAGTCTCAGGGATGTACCATCTCCACGTGCCCCACCACTCTGCCCAGGGTCAGGCACCCAAAACACTCGTGTGGGTGGGATGCTCTGGTGGAAACCCACCCCATGGAGGGACAGGGCAGCACAGACCTGCAGCGGGATCAATGCCAGCACCCCAAACTGAGCCCCCCATTTCACATCACCCAGCACAGGGCTGAAAAGAGGCACCATCAGGGCAGAGTGGGGAGGCAGGGGAGACTCCAGCCCTGCCCAAGGAAGGCTGGGGCACACCCAGGCTGCCACGGCCCCGGAGCGGGTAACGCTGCTCAGCAAGAACCGCAGCCGTCCTTCTTGAACCTGAATATCCCATGAGAGAACAGCTACAAAAACAAGGACTTTAAAGAACTACAGTAGCTAAAAAGTGTTTTCAAAACATACCTAAAGACCACCTACAGAGCCAGGAGGCACCGGGCACGGGGGTCGAGGAGCACCTTGCCCCGTGCCCGGCTCTCCCCCCCTGCAGAGGGCCTGCGGTAAGAAGCGTGTGAAGCAGTATTCATCCAGGGCTGGCCCTGAAGCTCATCGTGCTCCAACAAATCCAGTATCCTGCTTTTTATGGCTTTTTAACAACAAAACTCCCCAAAACACACGCATACACCCCCCCCACCCTCCCCAACCCCAAGCAGAATACAGAGCTAAAGCACAGTTTAGAGTTAAGGCTCATCCAGATTTGACTAGATATGGAGACTGTAAGGCACATATTAGTACATTCATGTTACTGTTAAAAAGCCAAGACTATAAAACACCCCCCCTGCCCCTGACACACGAGGATACTGCATGTGTAGGCCTGTTACCTTTGTTGAACACAGATGGAAAGACAACTCAGAGCCCGTTTAAAAATGAACACCTGGTTTAAACACTTCTCACGGCCGCCCAGCGCCAGCAGAGCTGTGCCCCGGCCGCCCCGCCAGGGCAGCAGCGCTTCCCCGACACTCCGGGATTGAGACCGGTCCCTCACATGCGGCTCTCCTCCTCTTTGACAACATCCTCAGAGCTCTTCTGAGGAGAGGGGGCCGAGGAGGCCACGTCGTTGTTCGCCTCTTTCGGCTTCTCGGGCTCGTCCACGTTGGTCTCCTCCTCCTTCCCTTCCTTCTTCGCCTTCTCCGCCTTCTGCTCCTTTGCCACCAGACGGTAGTTGATGCCCATCCCAATGAAGAGGTAGATCCCAGCAATGATGAGGACGACCCCACAGGCCCAGTACGTGTACTTGTAGTCACCATACATGTCATTGAGCCTCCCTGAGGGACAGAGAGGGGACAGCTTAGCGAGATCCCCACAACCCGGAGCAGCTCTTGGGTTATGTTGCCAAGAGCAGCCCAAACCCATCACCCGCACCTTCAGGCAAGGACCTCTCCCGCATTCCTTTATTCCCTGCTCCCCCACCCCATGCCAGGGGCTCAGCCCCCACTTCCTCAGCCATCTCTCAGATGCCGGGGTGGTCTCCTCACCCCTGCCCCAGTGCCAAGGGCTGCCCATTGCTCAGGGGGACTCGCCATGGCTCAGCAAGGCCAGGCAGGACAGCCAGAGTCATGGAGCCGTTAAGGTTGGAAGAGACCTTTAAGATTAAGTCCAGCCATCAACCCAGCACCACCACAGTGGTCACCACTAAACCACGTCCTCAAGTGAGTCCCCCTTACCTAGCACAGGGGGTCCCAGAAGCACAGGGCAGCACTCCACGATGGTCACCAGGCCGACGGCGCTGGAGAACCGCTGAGCTCCCACCAGGTCCATCAGGGTCTCAAACAGGATCGAGCTCAGCCAGCCAAAGGCAAAGCCAAAGAATCCAGCATAAATGCAGAAGCCAGCATAGGTGGTGGACATGGGGACCAAGAGGTGGCAAACCCCGTTGTAAATCACAGAGATGGCGAAGAAATACTGGACGCGAGGTCTGATCCACTTGGTGTTTGCCACCAGTCCCATGGAAGGTCTAGCCACCATGTCCACGAAGGCCAGGATGGAGAGCAGGAAGGCTGCAGACTCACTAGGGATCTTCTTGCTCTTTGCATAATTGCTGAGGAAGACCAAGGGAGCGAACAGCCCAAAGAACATGATCACATTGCCTGACAGATAGAGCAGGAAGCCCCTGTGTGTGAATAGAGACAGGTCCAAGAACTTGTTGATTGTCTGGAAGAACGAGCTCTTCTCTTTCTTGCTCTTGCCATCGATGAGGTCTGTGCTGGTGTCACCATCATCCTTTTTCCCTGCCTTCCCAGCCTCCTGCTGCGCCTCCTTACTCTGATCCGGCTTGGGACCTATGGGCCTCATCAGGGATCCGGCCACACAGCAGTTCAGCAGGAGGCCACCGAGGATGAGGAAGCTGCCACGCCAGCCAAATATGCCAAAGAACATCTGGTTGACAGGTGCCAGGGTGGAGAGGAAGACAGGGCTTCCTGCCATCGCCAGCCCGTTGGCCAGTGGACGCTTCTTGAAGAAGTACTTGCCGATCATGGTTAAGGCTGGGTTCAAGTTGAAGGCGAGTCCAAGGCCTGCAAGAGAAATGTGGGGCTCAGGACTCAGGCACTGAGCCACAGAAGGGCTGGTGGGACAAGCGGGGTTTCAGTTGTGGGGGTTTCACAGCTCCATTTCCAACTTAGAATCATGGAATCATTAAGGTCGGAAAAGACTTGTAAGATCACTGAATCCAACCATTAACCCAGCACTACCAGGTCCACCACTAAGCCATGTCCCCAGTGCCACATCTACATGCTTCTTAAACACTTCCAGGGATGGAGACTCCACCACTGCCCTGGAGAGTCTGTTCCAGTGCCTGACCACCAACTTCCCAACTGCACAAGCAGCAGTGAGCCCCTGTTGCTGGCTGGGGAGGTACCAGGCAGCGACAGAAATCAGAATTTATGCCAGTTTATACACATTCCTTAATTATCACTGGGTTTAAGACGCTCCTGTCGCTGCTCTGCTGGGGCAGAGCCATCACTTACCCCCTATGACCCCAACACAGAAGTAGAGCTCCTCCACCGTGTTGCAGAAGGAGGCTGCGATCAGCCCGCAGCCCGAGAGGCACCCGCCCGCGATCATGATGGGCCTGCTGCCGTACTTGTTCACCAGGATGCTGCTGATGGGACCTGGGGGACAAAGGAAATGCACCCGAGGTGAGTTATCTTTGCATGAAAGACAGGACATACACACACACACAGGTACACTGCAGCTCTGCTGCCAGAAGGTTCCAGCGTTCACACAGTGATGCTTCACCCAGGGAGGGAACTGGGGTAAGGGCAGGAGGAGATAAGAGAATCACCAAATGGTTTGGGTTGGAAGGGATCTTAAAGATCATCTAATTCCAACTTCCTGCCATGGGCAGGGGCACCTTCCACAGGTTGCTCCAAGCCCTGTCCAACCTGGCCTTGAACACTTCCAGGGACGGGGTACCCACAGCTTCTCTGGGTAACCTGTGCACAGGGAAGAATTTCTTCCTAATATCTAATCTAAACCACCACAAGAGTAGGAATTGGTTAGACCACAGAAAACTTTGATTTCTCTGAGGAAGTTGCCTTCTGTGGGCTGAAACAGGAGCTACTTAGGCACCAGCTGCCCCCAAAAACAGGGGTTTGGGACAGGGTGAAGCCACCTGCCCCATGCTGTGGCCTCTGCCTTGCCTGCAGCCACCTACCCGCCACAGGCTGGGGTCTCAGCAGCAAAGCAACTGCACAGCAACTGCTCATCTCCAGCCAGAGGTTTCTTACCAAGACCAGACAAAGTTGTGAGGAAGCATCTTCTGTGGGCACAAGTGAAGCTCCCAGGGCTTACAGGAGGAACAGCACTGCCCCAGGAGAAGGGGTGCTTCTGTTTTCACTGCTACCCCTAAGGCAAACAGGACCCAATTGCCCTTTCAAGTGCTTCACTATCAGGAGCTTTAATCCAAAGCAAACAGTGATTAGATAATGCCAAGCATGCTCTACAGACACTAAAAGGTATTTAAATAGACTGGATGTTCATCCAGTGAATATTAACAGACCCCGCTTTGCCATTAACAGACAGAGAGGTTGTCAACATGTTGTTCATGGATCCTCAGATGCTACTTGACCTTTTTGCCCAGTTTAAACACAGCCTGGAGAAGGTTACAGAGGCCTTGGAGCTGCAGAGGCTGCCCCCAGCCCCACAGCATCCAATGTGGTCCCATGGGAATGGGTCATGGCCCTGGTCTCGTGAGAGGGAGCAGCAGCACCCAGGAGGTGCCACACCACCCCAAATCCCACAGGCTTCCCCACAGAGCATTCAGCACTTTGCTCAGCACTGGACCTTGAACTCAGAAACATGATGCCCCTGGACAGAGTCTAACAGCACCCATGGCCTCCCCTCCAGTAAATCCAGCCAGGGAGCAGCAGGATCCAAGGACAGCCAGCAGGAAACTACCCAGCTGGGTAGTGCCAGGTGTCCTATTGCTCCAGTGCAATTCAGACCCTGCAAAGAGTCTGGGTTCAGGCAGGAACAAGTGGGGCAGGAGGATGTTCCTGTGCTCCAGCAGCTGGGGGATGAATCACAGAAAATCCTGAGTTGGAAAGGATCAGCAAGGATCACTGAAGTCCAGCTCCTGGCCCCACTCAGGAAGACCCCAAAAATCCCAACATGTGCCTGAGTGTTGTCCAAAGGCTCCATGAGTTTTGTCAGGCTTGGGGCCGTGACCACTGCCCTGGGGAGCCTGTTCAGTGCCCAACCACCCTCTGGGTGAAAAAAAAGCACTTGGGCAAGTCTGGGGTACTTTTAGCATCCCTGGCACCAGCTTATAAGCAAGTGGTTCAAGACCAGCAGTTCTTGGAATTTAATGGCAACAGATCAATGGGGGCAGGAAAGACAGTGACAGTGTGCACAGAGGGGGACAGGGGGACAACCATGACCCCAGGGCTGGAGGAGGCAGCTCTCACCCCTGCTGCCAGGCAGCTCCAACCGGTGCTGCCCTCAGGGCACCCAGAGGAACCAGCTCTGAGCTATTAGGAGAGGAGGAATGGCCCAGATTGGGTCTCATTAAGGCAGTTACACGGTTTACAAGCTTGTTATAACATCGGAGCAGGGAAATGTGCTGGTCGCTTCGCTGGCTGAGCGAGGACAAAGCAGAGCCTGTTCCCTCCAAAGGAAAAGCCTCGTGCTCAGCCGGGAGCTGACGTCAGCTCCTTTGGATGCACAAACGCAGCGAGGCCGCGGGCACCTCGCCAGCTGGGGATGGCAGCAGGACAAGCTCCCATTTGCCTCTGAAGTGGCCACAACAGCAGGCTCCCAGTAAGAGCTTCTTTCAGCCCAGCACAAGGCCGTGTTTGCAGGCGGGTACAAGACCCCGGGGTCTGGAGACCAGGAGCGCCCTGCTTGCTCCTCACCCATTAAAGACAAGCATAAAGCACACGGCTGGGGGATTAAAAGCCTTCAAAAGGCAGTTGCTGAAGGGCAGGGGAGGGGAGCTGCTTCAGTTTAAGTGGGTTTGCCTTATTCTGCTCATGTCTCTGTACTTCCAGTGCACGTTGCCATCCTCAAACAGCACAAGCTGCTCGTGACACTGCTCGGCACCAGCAAGGAGGAAAAGGCAGCACGAGGCTTCAGTGCACTCCAAGTACAGCTGAGCTCACCAGAAAATGGGGACAAATCCCTAGACAGACCCACTGTACACTGAATTTAAAAATAATAATAATAATAATAATAATAATAAAAAATCAATGTCTTATCTAAAAGAAAAGTGCCCCTGGGAGTGAGGTTCCCACACATGGCACAGCAGCTCCCTGGCCTTCAGGAGGGTGCTGGGAGCAGACACAGAGCCCATAGCCCACTGTAACAAGGACAAGGGCAGAATTACACAAGTCATAATTCCCCGGAAAGATTTTACTTACGGCTTTGCAGAGGAGGACAGATTAACCCGGTTTTTGCATTCTGGGCACTAAATAGAACTTTCTGAGCAACTTCTTTCAAGAAAACTCATTAAGGGAGGTTTTGCTCTCACATAAGGAGAGAATTCCAACTTTTAGCAAAGTTTTTGGTTGTTTCACTATGGCCAGGTGGGCATCACCAGCCCCAGCAGCAGAGCAGCATCCTGTGCTGTGACACAGGGGCACAAGCACTGCTCCCGCTTACCTCCTGCATACATAACAGCCAGCATGATGGACGAGATCCAGGAGACTTTGCTGCTGGATGCATTGAAGATGACCTCAATCTCTTTGAAGAACACGGTGATGGACTTGGGGAAGGCATAGGAAAATCCAATGGAGATGAAGGCTCCGACGACCACGGCCCATCCCCATCCTCCTTCAGGAGGGGTGTATCCCACGGGGCCTCCGACGGGCGGTGGCATCTTGAACCAAGTTGGTGACGACTCAGTTGGGGTTCAAAGATCTGCAAGGGACAAAGTGTTGCCTCAGATGAGAGCAGACGCTGCATCCCTGCTCCTGGCACGCAACTGCACAGCTCGAGCCCTGCTCCCAAGGCTGGCACAGCACCAGTGCCCCCACCACCTCCAGGAGAGCTGATCTGAGGGTTGGGAGCACTTGAGGGGCACCAGCACACTGGGCCACCCCAAAACACACACTCGGATTGCAGCTGGCCTTTAAGAGCCCTGGATAGTATGTATTTGTAAGGGTCAAATCTAAGATATGACACCCTGACCTACACTGGAAAGGTCAGGCAGTGTCTGGGACAGCAGCAGCCAGGGCTCATCTGCGTGAGCAGAGCCCCCACAGCATCTCCAGGAAACCTCAGCACTTCAATATCCCAGGAAGCCCTAGGCCACCTGGAGCAGGAGCAGCACACCCAGGTTATCGACTGCAGGCACAGTGACTGAAATAAGTCCCCACACATGGGCCAGGACTGCTAAAGAGCAGTCAGGTGTCACAGCACACCCATCACCCCTAAAGGTCAGGGCCTGCAGCTAAACTTAGCCTGAGCAGTGACCAGGGAAGGCTCCTGTATGCTGCCAGGGAAGGGGGAGGTGGATCCACAGGGAGCAGCCCCAGCAGAGCCCGATTCCCAGGGGACTTGGCCCTGCAAGGGCATCTCCTGACCCAGCTGCATCCAAACCCCTCTCCCCAACTGAAAGGTGGGTTTCACAAAACACCAAAGCGTAAAAAACAATTCACCTAAAAAGATGAAACCAGAAGGGATTACAGAACAAAATAAATGGGGAAATGTCACACAGGCTTGCTGAAGTGTGGAATCCCCTTGGAGAGGCTGAGCAGGGAGAGGCTGATTGGGAGCGATCCAGAGGCCAGCAGGGTCGGGCTGCTCATAAACAGGCCCACGCTGCAGCTGCTGCACAGCTGGATCACACCCCGGAGGCACAGCTCCTCCAAACCAAGGCTGCTCCAGCAGAGCAGCATGAGCCATCCTGGGAGGAACCACAACCAGGGCAGCTGCTCACAAACGTGGGTCACAACATGCAAAGCAACAGGAATTGCTACCAACCCCAGAACTCCTGTGTACCCCCAGGGGTTTTAGAAGACACTTTCTGATGCACCACGGCCCTCCCCAGCCAGAGATCACCCTGCCCCTATTAAGCACCATCAGCCAAGGAGGGGACACTGGGCTCCTTCACCAGAGCCCACCCCTCACTCTGCAGCTTGCTGCTGAGAAAAAGCCACCTTGGAGCCAGAGAGCCTTTTCCAGAGCTCGTCGGGTCACACCAGGCACAGCGACAACTTCAAAGCAGCGTGGTGCTGGCTCTGAGAGGTGCAGCCTCCTATTTATAGCACGAATCCGCCCCAGCTCGCGGCGATTACCATCTCATCCTCATCCATGGCTGTTGACATGCCAGCATCTACCTGGCACGTCCCCATGGCACACACCACAGCACTGCGGGCGCCTGCCTTCTCACTCGCTCCATGTAACTCCGACACACATCCAAGGCCGGGATCAGGGTGTCCCACCCAAAGCACAGCCCAGAGCCACGGGGAGACCCCGCTCCCACCTGGCACCGGAGGCACCAGCAGCAGTTACCTGATACAGCACCGGGTTTGCCAGAGCCACCCGACACCTGGCCGTGCTCAGGTGATGCCCCGGAGGACCCACGCGAGGCGAGAGGAAGCAAAGCACGGGAGGCCGGATTCCATAAGCTGCTAAGACTGGTTTAGCCTGACCCAGACACTGGTTTCTCGCTGGCAGGGTATTTTCCTGCATCCTGGCCAGTGTGACACATGACCATCACGAGCAGCTCCGAGCCACCCGCCGCTCCAACAAAGGAATCATTGACAAGACGCTGCCCCTGGCACGTCCACAGCTGAACTATGCCCGGGAGCCACAGACTTTTTCCTCTGATTTCCTCTCTGGGACTCTCAGGGATAGCTTGACCCACATTGGGATCTGGCTGCAGGCAGATCCTTGGGCCAACACATCTGTGGGCACCCACCTGGCACCAGCAGTCAGGGAGGGAAGTGCCAGAGGCTCCTGATGCACTCTGGCCTCTCCGGACATGGAGCAGTCCACCCACCATGAGCACCAGGAATTGCTGAACATCCCCTCCCCACACTGGAGTTCCCACCACCTCTTGCTTTGAGTCACATTGAGCTTTCATGGCCTTCAGTGAACCTTAAAGCCTCATCTAACCACACTGATTTATCCAAAACATTTTTTTAAAAGCTGAAACTACCAGGTGTTGGCTATAAAAACTCCCAGCACGGAATACAATCTACTTGTGAGCACTAATTAAAACTACAGGCAATAAAAGCCATCCAAGGCAAAGGCTGGCGGGGTGCAGATGAGGTGTTGGGGATTTTTCCCTTTTGCTCCTGAGACACATACACTGGTTTCATTCTACCACTGCTCCCGAGGAGCTCAACTGCTCAGGAATGACTGTGGCTTGGTTCACCTATTTGTTCTTCCCCTGCAAGCAGCATTCCTCCTCCTGTGGGTGCTGAGGTGGCATCTCTCTGTAAAATAAAAGGCCTCTGGCGGGTTAGACATGACCTCTCTTGCATTGCTGAGGCACAATGAAAAACCTTCAGCTGAACAAGGTTTTGAGACCATGAAGCAAGATTCCCAAAGCCTGACGCCAGAGGGTTTACATGGGGAGTTCTGCATGCCACAACACTTTTCCCTGACTCATTGAAAATCCTTATTAAGAAAAACCAGTTTTAGAAAGCTCATTCTCAACCGCATTAAGGCTTCTTGCTGATTTCCTCCTTGCCTCCACACAGAAATAGTTTCAAAGGAGCGAGGGAAAAAGAAAACAAAGCACATGTAAGGCAGGCAGCCTAATTGGAAAGATTCCTCCCCTTTGCAAAAAGGAAAAAAAAAAAAAAAAACACTCAGAACATAGTTATGACATTTCCAGCTCTGTTTTGGAAGAGCTGCAACGTGTAAGACGTGTTTGGAAACCAAATTCACAGCTGCCAGGCAGCCAGCTACAGTTTGCCCTATTAGGAAATAAAATAACCGTATTTGCAGTAATTAAGACTGATGAGACCGAGTAATGAGTGTGAGTATCACATCTGCTCCCTGCTGAAGTCCTGACTAATCCACAGGAATGGGTAGCCTACAGCCACCCTCCTCTGCACAGCGATATCGGGAGCAGGAATGGAGGCAATGAGGACGGTATCACCTCGAAACAGATCCTACAGGAGACTAAAGCCCTTCCATCTCCGAGGTCCCACGCACAGGCACTGTTATCCCTTCTCCAAAGGGGCCTGGAACAGGATGATTTCAAGACTTTTTAGTTACATAATGCAGCAAATTGCTGCGCTTTTCAAAGCCTGGATTGGCAGGACTCCAGCACAGAAAGACAGAGGCTCACATTTATAAAGCACTGCAAATGCTGCAAAGTATTTCTGGGGCAAAGCCTTTATGAAAGTGACCTCACACCACTCCTTTTTGGGGTCAGAGGAAGAAGGACATCCCCCACCCACGGAGGGGCTGTGCCTGAGGACAACACACCTCTGCCTCTGCTCGCACATCCCTCCAGCTCAAAGCTTCCCTGCTCGGGGCATACACTCATGGCATCTGCTGCTGTGTAAACTCACAAAGCCTTTCCCATGCTCAGAGTGCCTGGGACCTGGAGCAGGGCAGCCAGGGAGCCCCAGCTCCTGCTCCCATGGAGCAGGGCAGCCAGGGAGCCCCAGCTCCTGCTCCCACAGCCCACCCCTATCCCAACATCCACGCAGGTTTGTGCCACTGCCGGCAGAAGCTCACCCGGCACACCTTGGTAGGTGTGAAGTCCACAGTGACTCATCCCAGCCCTGCTCTCTCTGCTCCCTGCCTTCTGCTCCTCTGCGCTCTCCCAGCTCCAGAGCAGGACGTAGCAATGTCTGGAGAGAGATCTCCACGGCAAAAAGAAGTCCAGGGATGTCCCAGCTATACAGCGGCCATTTGGGTTCCTTGTGCCTTTGTCAGCTGGCCCCTGCCTTTGGCCTGGGAATGCCAACACTGAAACAAGGCAGGATGGGCACAAAGCTGCCCCTCACCAGCAGCACAGATCCCACTCCCTGGGGGTACTCCTCCCTCAAGCCCCCAGCAGAGAGGGGGACACTGGTCCCCAGGAGCCTGTTCCTACCAGCCCCATCCCAAAGCACAAGCCAAAGGAGAGCCTGACACACATCTACCCCTCCCAGCAGAACCTCCCAAGCCCGGCTCACCACAACAGGCTCTTCCAGTGCTCAGCACAGGGCCATAAACATCCCATGGGACATTTGTCCAACGCTGGGAGCTGGCAGACTCCCGGCATCCCTTTCTGGTCCCTGAAACTAAACTGAGATCTCATGCTGGGGAAATGAAGGTGTCCACAGCCAATAACACTTTATAGCTTCAAATTTGGCCCTTTTATGGCCAGAAACAAGACAAAATCAAGATTGTCAGGAGCTAATGAGACACCACTTTCACCGGTTTTAAGCGGGTTTAGGGCATTAAGCGCAGAGCTGTAATTCCAGCGAGCCCCCACAGCCGGGGTTTAACCTGGCAGCACATGGCCTACGTGACTCCCCGGCGCTTCCAAGGGCTCTGCACCAAGACAATGGTCGATTGAGGCCCCGCTCAGCCCCAGCCCTCGCTGCCGGGGTGAGGTGAGGTCAGCAGCACGGGCAGGGCTTGCTCGAGGCCGGCTGCCCGCATGGGCAGGCTCAAGGTTTAGGCCAGAAGCAGCCGGGCCCGCTCAGTGTCTCTCCCCACCAGGGACGGTCAGTGCACCCCCAGACGTGCCCTGGTCTGCCGGCCCAACACGCAGACAGACAGACAGACGCCACGGGGCACGGCATTGGCAGCTGCCCTCCTCCAGCTCCACCGCCAGCACGAGCCCTGGCCTGCAGAGACACAGATCATCTTGCTCACCCTGCCGGGCAGGACCATGGACCTTCCCTGGACACCTGCCATGGACCTTCCTGGACACTCACCACGGTTCTCTTCAGCAAACACAGCCTTCTGACCTCCAAAATGCTCCCCAGAGTAGCATAGGCTGTGAAAGGCTGTGAGCTGCCCTGCAAAGTGAGATTTTGGGATGGTTTATCAGCAGCTTTGGGGAAAAACAACCAACCAGATCGAGTGAGCAGCTATTTCTGCCCACCAGAGGAGCTCCCATCCAGGGATGCCATGCCTGGTTGTTAGCAGCAGTTGGGCTCAGCTTGCCTGAGCAAGGACCAAGCACCTTACTCCAGCATGAAGTCAAGCTTAAGCAAGCTACCAACAAGCCCAAGTCGAAAGCCTAGCTTATTTCTACACCAGAGCCTGGCTGTGGCCACAGCTCTCCCAGAGCACTCTGACCCAAAACCCTGTGGCCAGGCTGGTTACAAGAACATTATGTGCAGCAGCTCTTGCCTGTCCTCTGGGCTCACATTGGCTTCAGCTCCAGGCACAGCACGCAGATCCCCTTCTCTAACTGTGCCCATATTCCTAGAGAAAAGGATTCCCACAGCACCGGCTGCCAGCCAAGTCCCCCAGTCTCAGGAGGGGACAGGAGGTGCTCAGCCCCTGTATGTGGTCTCACAGTCCCACCCCGAGCATGAGTCGTGCTCTGCCAGGACACAGAGCTGATCCTCCCCGCACCAGCAGTGCTCAGGAACGCTCCCAGAACACCCTGTGCCCGCCAGGAAATCCTCAGAATGAGAAAAATGTGGTACGGAATAGCACCGGCATTCTTTCATCAGACACCCACACTGCCAGCCAGGGACAGCTCCCGGTGTCTTGGCAGAGCAGGGGGCTGCAAACCCCCAAAAAGTCACAGTTATCACTGTCCAAACAGAACTGTCTCTCCCCTAAGAGCAGGAGCCTGAGCTTTGCTCCCACATGATTGTTGCCTCTGAGCCCTCAAACCAGGGATGAGGGAGCACCAGGATGGAGGTGGGATACTCACGCTGAGGACCAAGGCAGCACCTGCAAGGAGGTGGGAGAGGAGGTCACACCAGTAGCATGCGGGTGATTGTGGTTTCAGCAACTAACTACAGCTCCACACGGATTTTCTTTGGCTACAGTACAACTGCAACTACACTGCAGCGGCTCTAAGGGCACGCTTGAAAGTGAGTCAGCCGGTGAGAGGCTCCCACTTTCTTACAGTCACTGTTACAGGCTGATTCCAGAGAAGGAAATAGGAAAGGCCATAAAAGTGCAACAATAGATTTGCACTATAGCACTTAATGACATGCACCTCGCCTCCCGAGCCTACGTGCGGCTTTTCAACTCCTCATAAAGGAGATATAAAATGACAGCATGAAAGTCACTGGGTATTTTCCACCTTAGCTGCCAGATACATCAGGCCAACTGTGCAAAGTAAGAGCCAAAAGAAAGCACATGCGACCATTCACACCTTTTGTAGGGAACACCTCCTGGAAGGGAAGGAGGCTTCACACCTCCTAGAGGGGCCAGGATGGGCACAGGCACCCCCACGACTTTGGGGCAGGGAGGTTTGCCATACAATAGCCAAACCTGTAATTACAAGATCACTCACCCCAGCGATTCATCTAAGACTGAGAAAGCCCCTTCCCACAAAGCTACCAAACAGGAGCTCAGGGGGTTTCTCCACACCCAGCACATCCCAGCTTTTCCCTCCCCCGGCCCATTTCTCAGCCCTGCTCCTTCCCTTCCAGACACAGCCAAGGAAATCTCAGAGCAAGAACACCCAGGAGAATCAGCCAGCACTAAATTACCTCACTTAGCATGAAAATGGGATGCCTGTGCACCACAAAAAGGCTTAAGGCTCACAGAAAGGCACAAAAACAGAATCATTAGACCTGGTTTCTTTTGACGCAACTAAGAAAATCCATCTTTTTCCTCAGAAGGAACTTAAAGCACATGAGAGAGAACATGAGAAACCCTGGTGCAAAGGGCCCGCTCTCGCACATCAGGGTGTGAGCCTGCAGAAAGGGTTCAGAACATTTGCTGTCCCAGGGAAGGACACAAATCCCACCTCTCCTCCTGCAGCTACAAGTGACCCACAATTTTCTTCTGATCCTCTTGTTCACCCTCATCCCTTTTCCTCAGGTCAGCTTCCAAACCCTCCAGCACTGCTCATCCTTTTGTGACACATCTGGGGGCTCTGCCCCGAGCCAGGACACCCACCCCGGGCAAAGCAGCCCAGCAGCACATCTGGAGCCCAGCCGCACGCAGCTCCCCAAACATCTCATTCTGGGGCCAGCAAACACCTGCCAGAGGCCACTGGGCTTCAACCAGAGCAAGTAGGTGCCAGCTCGGGGAGCGTTTCGACAGCCCCTCGTTACGGAGCGAGTGTGAGCGACCACCAGCCACCAAGTTCCAAGGGTCCGACCTTCCCGCTGCCGATCACCGCAACACCTCAGCGGCCGAGTGACAGCCCACCCGCACACCTGAGGGCGGGTGTGCGCCTCACACACGTGTGGCACCGTCGGGACCTCACCGCTTCCTTCTCCTCCTCCCTGAGCAAGGCAGAAACAGGCGTTAAAGGCGCCTTTCCCGGGGCCGGAGCCCCGCAGTCCCTCCCGCGAACCCCAGCAGCGGATCGCGGCGCTGAGGGACCCGGGCGGATCAACCACCCGGCCGGCCTCGAGCGCCCGAGGTCCAGCTCCGAGCACCTGCCCAGAGGAGCCGCCCGGGGCTGGTGTGAGCGATGTGGAGCCCAGCCAGGGGCTGAGGGCTCCGGGAGCGCTCCCCATGGGGACGGGGGGCACCCCAGAGCCCTAAACTCACCCCCAGCCGCAGGACACGGTTCCCACGCGGCTGCCGGGCCTTCCCTGCCTTTATCAGCCGCCAGACACATGCAGTAATCGCCCCTTCCCTGCACCCCGAGCGCTTATCGAGCACCCTCAAATGGTGCGGGGACCGTCCCGCGGAGGCGCCCGGGGAGCGGCCTGAGGGGCTGGGCCCAGCCCCGCTGGGGGGGGGGGGAACGGGACAAGGAGCCCCCGGGGCAGAGACCCCCCCTCCCCGGCCCAAGAGAACCCCCTCTGGGGCAAGGAAACTCCACCTAGGGCAGCTGGGCAACCCAGGACCCCCAAGGCCACCACCAGCCACCCCCAGGCCCGGGCCCCGCCGGTCACCGGGAGAAGGGCGCGGGGGGATCCCCGATCCCCGGGGCGCTGCTGCCGCTGAAGGAGGAGCGGGGGCGGTCGGGGCAGGGCGCGTGTAGGACCACGCGGCCACCCCGGAGCGGGGACAAAAACACGGCTTCCCCCCCTCCCGGGGGTCTGAGGGAGCCGGGGGGGGGCCGGACCGGCGGATCCAACGCGGGCAGAACCGCCGCGGTGTAACCGACCCGCCAGCGAACCGAACGGCCACGGCGGCGGCCGCGAGCCCCGGCAACGGCGCGGGACCCTCACCGGCCCCGGGCAGCGCGGAGCCGCCGGAGCGCTTCAGCAGCCGGGGGAGGCTCCAGGAGTCACGGGCTGGGGGGGGTTCCCGCAGCCGGAGGAGGGGGGTCCCAACCCCGCGCCCGCCCGTCCCCGTCCCGCCGCGCCACGTGGGCCGGCCGGGCCCTACCTGCGGGTGCCGCCACCGCCGCCGAGTGCGGGCGCCCCCGCCCCCGCCGCTATAAGGGGCGGAGGGGCCCCGGGGGCGGGAGCGGGACGGGCCCCGCCGAGCGCCGCCCCCCCGCGCCACGTGCGCCCCGCCGGGCCCCCCCACCCCGCCCCCGACCCCTGCCCGGCCCCGCCACCGGCGGGCCCGGCCGTGAGCCCCGGCACGTACCGCCCCGGCCACGCGGGGCCCGGCCCGTGCGGGGCCTCCGGTGCCGGCGGGACCGAGGACCGGGACCGGGTGTGCCGGGAGGCCGGGCCGGATGCGGCCGCGACTTTAACCGGCAGAGCGGGACTTCCCTGAAACTTGTCCCACGGGGTGACTCGGCGTGGGGTCAGGAACGAGGGGTGCCCCTTGCTCCCCCACTGCCGGGCCCGGCCGCTTCACCGCTCCCGGGGGTCCTGGCCCTGATCCCAGGGATCCTGGCTTCGTTCCCGGGAGACCTGGCCGCACTACAGGGGTTCCTGGCTCTGCTTCCAGGGATTCTGGCCCCACTCCTGGGGGCTCCTGGCCCCACTCTCGGGGGTCCTGGCCCTGCTCCTGCGGGGTCCTGGCCCTTCTCACTGAGGTCCTGGCCTCACTCCTTGAGTCCTGGCTCCAGTCTCCAGGGCCCTGGATTCAGTCCCAGGGGTCCTGGCCCCACTCTCGGGGGTCCTGGCCCTGCTTTTGGGGTCCTGGCCCCACTACAGGGGGTACTGGCCCTGCTTTTGGGGTCCTGGCCCCACTACAGGGGGTCCTGGCCCTGCTCACAGAGGTCCTGGCCCCACTCCTGGAGTCCTGGCCCTGTTCCTGTGGTACCTGATCCCACTCTTGTGAGCCTTGGCTCCACTCTTGGGGCTCCTTGCCCCACTTTTGTGGTCACTGGCTGTGCTTTTGTGGGTCCTGGCTCCACTTTTGGGGGGCCCTGGCCCTGGTCTTGGGGGGTTCTGGCCCCACCACTGGGGTCCCTGGCCCTGCTCCTGGGAGTCCTGAACCTGCTCCTGGGGGTCCTGGCACCGTTTCTGGGGGCCCTTGACCCCCTCGGGTGCAGAATGCTGCACAGTGTCTATATCCAAACTCATCGGCGCTTAAAAATCCATTAAAATTAAAATCCTGACATCCACCAGAACATTTCTGATTGTCACCGGCCTCACAGGCAGCTGCACTCCCATGAAAGCAGGGATGCACTGCCGGGGGAAAGGCATTTCTGGTGGATCACAATTATTTCTGCCAGATCCAGCCCTGTGCCCCAAGCTACCATGTGCCCAGGGATGTGGACAAGCTGGATGCTCTAGTCATTCCCCTCAAAATCTGGCTTTCCGGGATAAAACAGGCCCAGGCCCTGCATGCCCAATGCCTCAGTGTATGGAAGAGGCCCTTGCTGGAAGTGTGTCCCTATTCCAAGCAGAATTCCTCACCCTCTGGATGCAAACCAGCCTGTAGCAGCCGTGCAACCACTGCTTTTCACTCCCCATGTGTCCCAAATCCTGCACAAACGGACTGTTACCTGGGAATGTTTTTCTCCAGCTGCTCTCTCCTGCTGCCTAATGACGCTAATTGTCTTCTGGGTCGCATGTCTAATGCTCTAATTTGTTTTAGAGTCGAAAGAAGAGTGGTGTAGCGGTGTAGTGGTGCTGGGAGCCAAGGGAGGGAAAGAAGGGAATAAGCAGTGACACTCCACAGATGGAGACGGAGCAGCTGCAGGGAGATGCGAGCGCTTCCATATCAAAGGAACCGCTGCCCCTCCATCGCAGGGAGCGCGGTCACGGGTGTGCTCCGAGCATGTCGAGGCACTGAATGGACCAGGTGCACTCGATAAAAGACCAGGCACTACAACCAACTCCTTCACCCACTTCTGAGGCGAGACACCGTAACCCAAAGAGCGAGTGGGTGGGAGGCTCCCTTGATCCGTGTGTTTCTGTGTGACTGAGCAGGGAGAGGCCTGCGCTTTGTTTTGTGTAGACAACAAGATAAATAATAATTCAAAGGGGCAATTTTGGATCAAACTCAAAGTGCCACTTGGCTCTGCTGTTCTTTAAGATCCTATCTGGGCTCAAGGGCTCTGCTCTGCTGGGGCCAGGCAGTGGGAAGTGCTGCAGGGGATCCCAGCCGGGACAGAGGCTTCCAGTTTCCTTTGAGGAGACCCAGCGCCGCTGGGATGAATGAAGCCAGAGAGCGTGTCCTTCATCTGGCACTGATGTACAGTGCCCCAGGCATGTCTGGCTTTTAGAGCAATGCACAAAACAAGGGGCCAAGGATGGCAGAGCTCAGGTGAGCAGGGAGCTGCCAGAACACTGATGGGCTGGACGGGCACATTAGAAGCCATAGGACAGCATTGCTGCTCCAGTTCCTGCTGCTTCTCCATCTTACAGAAAGTGGAAAGGAGTTCTTCCTGCTCTGTGCTGCTGCATTTTTTCTCCTTTAAAAGACGGATTTGATATTAATCCCATTAGGAATTTTTTTCTTGTGAGGAAAACAGGATATTGTTTCAGGATATTGGGCAACAAAGCTGTCCTTGAAAAGCAACGCTAAGCAGCCTTGCAGTCCTGCTTCTGCATTTGTTGTGGACACTAATCAAGTTCAACGTCCGGGACAGCCAAACCATTTCACTCCCGAGTGAGAGGGAGGCCTTGGCAGAGCAATCCGAGTTCAGGTTTTCTGTGTTCCCTTGTAAATACTAAGGACCTCTAGTAATCTCAAAACATAATCACTAGCTCTGATTTCTCTTGTAATTAATGCCTCTAGCAGGTGTAAAGTCTAGCCCTCATCTGTCATGAACACACATGTCCTGCTTGATAAGAGAGATAACAACATAAGTCCTAATCCAGGAATTATTGGTAATCTCTTGGGAAAGTCTGTTCTATTGAGATATCCATCCTAGTTTCCTGACTAAGCTTTGGGAAAAGGTTTTCTGAACTTCTGGATTCACATTTCACTTCAACTGAGCTTCCAAGCTCTGAGTTTACCCGTCATAGCAACCCTGTGACAATGGATGGGGAAGAGAAAGCGTCGGAGTGCCGTCCCCAGGGAACACACAGGTTCTCTTCTGTGGGATGATGCCAGCACGACATTGTTCAGGGGTGTGTTGGTGTAACAGCCTCTGTCATTGTTTAGAAAATAATCTGCCTTAGGAAGAAAGTGCCTGCCAAGATGCTCAAAATGGCCACTAATGCCATAGAAAACCTTTGCGGTTGCGGTCATTTTATGCTCAATTAGGGCAACACTTCCTCTCACCTGCCTGGGCTCCTGTTACTGCTCTGTCCCTGCCTGTGTCAGGCTCACACACATGTTCCCCAGGGACACAGACCATCCCTTAGCAAGGCTGTGTCTCTCCAAAGTGGTCCCAAGTCCCTCGGATCCTGATACTTGTGGCCTGCATCCACCAGCATGAAAAGCCCAATACATGTTACCCAGTGGCAGTGGAAATAATTCCTTGTCAAAATTGGCTGTAGCAGCACAGTGTGACCAGTGAGTGGTGAGACAGACAGTGATTTAGGTCAGGAGAGGATGTGAGGCCAGCAGAAAGGGGACAATCTTCCATAGCCTCTCCCAGGAGCTCTGACTGAAGGGAACTGCCGCCTCCCCATGAGCTCTCAGGGAAGGGGTGTGAGGAGGATGGTGTGGGGTGGTGGCGGTCAGAGGCACATGACAGCAGGTCATCTGGTTTCACTGTTCCAGATGGGAAGAGGGTAACTGTGCCCTGCGGAGAGCTTTGCTTGCTGCATCTGCTTTGGCCTGGCTTTGCTGCGTCCTGCCTAGGAAAGGGAAGGCCGTGCTGTGCCGTGTGCTGGCTCCAGCCACATCCTGGCAGCTGCCACACCTGCTCTTCTCTGCCAGGAGAAGCATCCTGTGCTTGGAGAGCTTGTCTAGAGTTAAGGGACACATGGAGACCACCTGGCAAATGTTAAGTGATGTCACACATCGCTGTGATCCTCCCTTGTCCTTTGCACTGCGCCTCTTCCTCATCCTGTGGGGTGAGTTCTCTGGCTCTGTTTGTGGGCCCCTCATGCTGCAGCCTCCACTAGCAGGTCACCTTTTGCCAAGGAGCTTATCTGGCACGAGAAATAGTATCTCTGTTCCTCCTCCCTCTCCATCCCTGGAGCCAGAGGAAAGTGATGCTGTTTGATGTCCTTTCCAATGCTAATTCAACGCTCTGTGAGGACTCATGAGGGTCTCCACTCGCTCTTCGAGGAGTGTGGGGGCTGCTGTCCTTCACTGCACGTTGCCATCCCATATGTTCCCGACGCGATGACTCGTTCTTTCCGTGCTCTCCTTCCTCATTTCCCTAGTGCTGGCCGCCTGACAAGCACGTCTTGGCAGTGCCAGTCCTCCACTCAATCAGGCAACTCATCCTTTAGGGTCTATAGCCGGTGCTGCCAGTGCCTCCACGCAGGCAGGGGAAGGGGCTGGTGTCTCCTCTGGCACGAGGGGCTGAGTTCTGTGCTTGGGGGGGCTAATCTCACCCTAGGGAGCAACAGCCCACTGTGCTGAAGGGGACACAGAGGTGATGCTTGCTGGATGGACACCCAAATGCATCCCAGCCACACTGCTGTCCTCTTGGAGCTGGGGTCACTCAAACCAGTATGACCAGAGCGAGATCCTGTTCTGCTACATACACCAGATGCTGGGATCATCTTTCTCCAAAAGCTTTCTGTCAGAGCTGGGGACCCCTGAGGCAAGAGGCAGGGGGACCGGGTCAGGCCATATCAAGGGGTGTACCTCCCACGGTGTCCAGCC